AGTGAAGCCACAGCCATGACACAGCTGGGTCGCAGCCTGCAAGGGTTCCAGCTTCTCTCCCTCTTCGCTTTTTGGGTTAAATACTGCTCCTGGCCCAGCCTACCTCAGGTAGGAGGCTGCTTGAGCTGTGCTCTCTGGAGAGGGGCAGCTCCCAGGATCCTCTGTGCCTGGGTACAGCCCCTCACTCACGTTCCCCACAGTCCCAGCCCTCCTTCTTCCCGTACCAGGAAAGGCGAGGGTGCGCTGTGTTCGGAGATGTCGAAGTAGGTGACGTCAACGGGCAGGGTGGCGTGCTGGGGGCAGTAGGAGCCGCTGGCACCGATCTCCGCTGTGAACCCCTCGATCCTCCCCGAGGGTGCAAAGCGCCCTTTCAGGATGGACTCCTGAGAGAGGCGGGAAGCGTTAGTGACCTCTAAACACCAGTCCTGCCCCTCGCCAGTGAGATCGCCCCCATCACCACCGTAACCATGAGTCTGCCTGCTCTCATGTGTCTCCCGGCTTTCTGGAGACCACCTGTGAATGGCTCTGGCGGCTCATCCTGAATTGGTGGGCTGAAACCAGCCACCTAGCACAGAGAAGCAGCGAGAGCACCTCTGCTCTGCCACTCAGCTCTGCAGCGGCAGCCTCGGCAGGGTCCAGGCGTATTGCCCAAGGATCTGCTGGCCAAGCCATCCTGCTGGAGGATGGCGACTGTGTGACGTGACCACGGCAGGCCAGACCCCTGGGGACAATCAGTCCAGCCCCACGCCAGGGATCCTGTCAGGTTCAGGTTCTCACACCCATCGCCAGCCCAGCCTGGAGCCCCCGGGACCCACCTCCCACCCTGGCAGGGGGCTTGGAAGGGGATGATCTTTAAGGTCCCTTCCAACTCAAACCATTCTGTGATTCTAGGATTCATCACTCCTTCTAAAAAAATCCTAGGGCACAGCCACCCTGGCCTGCCCCTTTCTCCTACCTCAAAGTTGCCCAGCAGAGCATGGCTGACAGTGGTGGTGGCCCAGGGCGCTGCGGAGGACCTGGTACACCTCCGGAGGTTGCTCCGGAGATGTCGCCTTTGAGAGAGGAGAGAAGATTGGTGTCCACGTGGAGAGCACTCAGTCCTGGGCTGCCTGCTCCAGGTCCCTGTCCCTTTCTTTGGTGGAGCTTGAACCCACTTTCCTATCCCCCAGGGACAGAAGAAATGTCCTTCCACCCCCCAGCCTGGGGTCTTGTGGAGGGGAGACACTTGGGGCAGGGCAGGGAAGAGGACTAGACCCAACCTGACCCTCTCATGGGGCTGGCAGGCTGCTGGGGTGGCTGG